ATTCATTACAGTAGATCTCTTAATGTTGACAAGTTAATTGCTGTTTAAATTGTTGATAATAACAAAATATTTTAGGCCATTTAAAGTAATAAATCAAATTCAAATTACATTCAGCACTGCAAGTCTTACTAAGTATGAGGTTGCATATTTGCCCTTCTATATATATGTAATGGGTTTGAGTTCTTTTATTAGATCAAAGATGAGGGGGAAAAAAACAACTTCAAATGTCACTAGTACTTTGAATTAATTATATGTTCCACTAATATGATTGTTTCATAATTAGATTATGCAAAGATATTAAAAATTATTAAATGACTTATTGACAAAGTAAAGTATGACAATATTTAATCAAAATATTTATTTCTTTGTTTATTATTTAAATTGCCACCATTTGTTAAATTTTTAGGAAAACGTTGCACCAATCGCATGACAAAAACTTTCGGTACAAATTTACTATTTAACTTTTTATGAAAACATATAATTTTAAAAGTTGTACTCCTTTTTTTTTCCTCTCCCGAAAAAGGCGGTCTTTTACTCTTGTTAATTAATCCAACTGGCTGGACGACCAGTAATTCAGGACAAAGAAGACGACGATCGACAAAACAGCATGGCGTTATTTATTCATTTATTCTATAATATTAAATTATTTTATTATTTTGACATTTCGAGTCTTCCTCGATTCTTCCCTCCCTCGTCATGCATTTATTTAAATATCCCTCTCTTTTCCCCTGTTTCCCCTCAGAACACAAGCAGCGTTTCTTCTTCTTCAAAATCCCATCTTTCTTTGATTCACAGCACTCTCTCTCTCTTTCTCTCTCTCTGAACTGTAATGGAAAACCGACTCAAATACGAGTCTCTCGCATGTTCAGCACCTCGTTCGGGTCTTGCAGGACCCGAAACTTCTCCGATGTCATGGAAAAAGCTCCACACTACCACCCACCATCCTCACATCTCATGGAGCCCCATGTCCCCCAGACTTCGTCCCTTTCCTTCCATCTTCAGACCAAAGCCTCACAATCTCTTCACGCTCCATGCTTTGATTCCCTCTGCGACGACCTCAACGGTAGGTCTTGTCTTCTTGCTTCTCGTAGCTGCGAGAATGAGTTTGATTCTGCCGAGAAAGTGAAAGAATCAGCAAGAAAGAAGAAGGATACGAAGAGGAGGAGGAGAAGACGACGACGACGAAGAAGAAGAAGAAGGATACCCAGATGAAAATTAATCACAAAGGAGACTATTCCGTTCGGTATAGCAAGAAAGAAGCAGATGATTTTGGAGGGAATTGGTGTATAGCAGTGACGACGAATGACGAGACGGACACTCTTTTCTCTTCTAAAAGCACCTCGTCTGACTCCTCACAGTCTCGCCGGTTTCGCCGGAGGCATCGGTCTCTCGCCGGAGAAAGCAGGACGGAAGTCGGTTCAGCTCTAAGAAGGGGAATTCTGAGATGGTTTTCTGCCATTGCAGGTGAAAGTGAAGGATAGCTTCGCCGTGGTGAAACGTTCGAGTGATCCTTACAATGACTTCAGGACGTCAATGGAAATGATAGTGGAGAAACAGATATTTGCTGCAAAGGATTTGGAGAATCTGTTGCAGTGTTTTCTGTCACTGAATTCACATCATCATCACAAGATCATTGTGGAAGTATTCACGGAGATTTATGATGCTCTGTTCTGTGACTGGGTTTAGAATTTGAATGGAAAACAGAGAGAGAACTTTTCTGAGTTCATTGTGCTTTGTTTCTATGGAAATTAGTTTAGTTTCTGACTTGGCTTAGCTTAGCTTCCTTGTATCATACCTCATTTTCTATTTAATTCAAGTCACTTCTCCGGTTCTCTTCCCCTGAGATTTCCTCTTGCTAGTTCTTGTGTTCTGTTTTTTAATTTTCCTGATTTTACTGGACTTGAAAGTCGAAAAAGATTTGAATTTTGAGGGAGAAAAAGTTGCAAAACTGGAGCTGTCTTCTTCGTTGAAGTAAAAACTAAAACGCTCCTTTTTCTTGTTTGTGGATTCACTAAAAGAATAGAAACCATAAAAAGAAAAGATTGCTCTTTCCAAAGTCCGCTTGAGAAAAAAGACTGCGTTTTGATTTGCTTTTCACTGTATTAGCATGTTATCATTATTCATTAGGTACTTCACCTTCAAAATAGATCTCAGGGCCTATAATATTAGATTATTAGTATCACCTAAGCAATTGAAAGCATATTAAATTATATTTTGAATAGTTGAACTTCTTAAAAGTTTAAAAGTGGTTGAACTTCTTAAACTCGTCATAAATTAAAATTATTTCTCAATAATGCTCCCAAATTAAATTAAATGATTCTAATTTCCTTTTTCATATGTATTTTGACCGCCAATTGCCAAAGTAATCAGCATAGTTAATGAAGGGCAGGGATGGAAAAAAATAAGCAATACTCCAAATGTTCCTACTGTGACTTCTATACTTTGCATCGTCAGGTTATATTTCATACTAGCTGATAGTTACTATAGTATTTTTGAGTGTGTTTTTTTGGGATGATGAGTTTTTTTTTTGGAACGATTTGCTTCTTTTTCTATATCATTTTATTAAAAAAATCATTTAGTTCTTATAATTTTGATTCAGTTACATTATTTCTGTTTTTCAAGTTTAACTTATCCAACCCACTTCTTTAAATTTTAGCTATTTTAATCTTTTAGTCCTCTTATATATATATATTAAAAAGTATATCGTCATTTAGAAACTGAATTGTAATTAATTATAGAGTGTAAGAATCGATATATTGAATAGTTAAAACTTTAAAGCTGAGTCTTAAACATCATAACCTGATTAATTTTGCACTAACATGAAAGATGGAAAGTATATGCTCTTGAATGCAATAACGGCAGGGATTAAAGAAGGTGGATATGCGTGTGTGCGCGTGGGGAAACTAGAGAAAACAAGTTTGGCTTTATTTGACCTTTATCTTGTTTGTAAAAAATGAGCGTGGCCCCAATAAATAGGAGATAGTTAAACATGAATCTCCAGCATCGTGTTTATCTTTTGTTTTTTGTTTTAAATTATTACTACTTTCGTTCTTAATATAAAAAACTTGTTAACTAGTTCAAGTATGTTAACTAATTCAAGTATATTAAAAAAATTGTTAAGTTAGTTATTTATAATAAATAGGTGTTTATCATTCTTAAAATACTTTTACTAATCATGTTTATTAGTTAGAACTACCATTTGGTAGAACTATTAACATGTACAATTATTACAAAACTACTTTATAAAAAATAAATAAATATGAAAGATAAAGTGGATTGAAATCTTATATTTAAAACCAAATTGAATATTAAACCATCTCTTATATTAAAATCAGGGAAAGTATTATGATATTTTATTATTGGTGCAAAGAGTGACATATATTAGTGTCCGAAGAGTAATCAACCATTCTCATTCACTATCTAATGTGACCATTGAGGTGGATTCACATGTGATCCAAATATCTTCATGTCCCTTCCTCTGTTTTCATAAAACCATCATAGCCAGTTTCAGCCATGGAATGATAGAATTTCTAGGTTTCAAAGCCCAACGTGCGGCCACACATTATGTTAATGATAAATATAAATAATATTCAAAGTAGGTTTTATTCACAATGTTTATATATATATTATTAAATTAAGTTGGCCTATCTATTATTCTTTCAGACCAAATCTGCATAAATATTTTTTTATCATACGGACGGTATATTAAGATCCATTGAACACATCCAAATGGGTTGGCAAAGCAACAAGAAGATGATTAATAATTTGGTCAAAGCATGGCAACCAGGGGAGTATAGCAGAGAACAAAATCCACGATTAAAATTACATTGGATCTAAGGGAAGAGAAAGAGAAGAAGAAAACAATACAAGAATGGCATACATATATGGTACAGTCTTGTCTATGTCACAGAAAACAGACAAAAACATACATTGTCATATAAAATTGGTAGGTAGAGAAGAACAAGCTGTTAGGTTGTATGATGAAGCAGGGATTCATGAAACAACAACAATAATAGTATTAGACGGTGATGAGGTCTGAGGAGAACAGTAGAAATAGCAGAGTGAAGACAAAACAAAAGGCAGCGTCCTTACCATCAGACATGATTGAATTTAGTATATTGAGTTCGTTTGTCTGTTGTATAATACAAGTTCCCAAGCACTTACCTGGAAGGTGGTTGGAATGTTCATGTCCGTATATTTTTCTAAGTTTTTAACCATGATCTGTTGTACATATATATATGTTGGATTCTTATGGCAGCAAACAGCATGCATCATCCAAGATAAGATAGGATATATTTATGCAGGTTTAATTTCTTTTGTTTTTTGAGTGAGGAATAAGGAGTATACTCCACTAATAACAAAATCATCTGCTCTTGTTTTAGAGTACTAATATGAGGGCAAAGGATAAATTCCCATCAATTAAGTACATGGAATGAGTTTATACCTTGTCCAGTTCTGAACGCAAGAATTATATAGCTATACAGATTTAAAAAAAAAATTAGTTTGATTAGTTATTTATACAAAATGTTTGTTAGTTTTCCTTAAATACCTTCTTTAATAATTTATATTTGAGCTACTCCATAAATTAATGAAAACACCTTTCACATGTACAATTAATAAGAATAGCTTGGGAGATAAAAATTATAAATTTGAAAAATAGAATATTACTCTAGTCTTTATTATAAATCACTTGTAACATATTCTTCTGGTCCTAAATATAAAACCCATATACATACTAATATAAGGGTCATATTTAAGACCGGAGGAATACCTTTATATATGAAGGAATGCATTAAATAAACAAAATTTTCTAATTTTATCCTTATTCTTTTTATACATTTACACATCATTCTTATATTTTCTCCTTCTTTCTCTCTTTTCAATAAAAATTAAATTAAATCTATTACAAGTAACTTGTATTTATGATCAAAACTTTCCCTACAAGGAACTTATATCTAGCATTGGAGTAGTAGAGTGTAGTCTTGCATTTATTATTAAGAAGCAAATCTCCAAAATACTTTTTGTATTTAGGATGAGAGGGAGAGACACCAAAGGAAACAAACGACGCTATGGAAACTGAAAAAAAAAAATGAAAGACAACAAAAGCGGATAGAAATAACATTTATTTGTTATATATGCTAAACATTCATTAGATTTGACGCTTAATTTCTTCTAGGAATTCATTACACCTAAAAATGATTTTTGAAGGATTATTATAGTATTGATGTTTTAGTTTTTGTAATGTAGATGCGCGGGTGTGATTAAAAAATGAAGGCCGAAAGAAGTAGCACTTTATTAAAAAGAAGAAGAAAAATAAAAAGTTTTGTCCAATTAAATTCTTGGGGCTTGATTTCCAGATATGACCCAAACGATGAAACCTACAGTGTGATTGGTAAGGGTGAAAACAAGTAAGGCGGTTTATCATAGGCTTATGACCTGGTCTATTTTTAAAAGAAATAGGTTCAGACTTGTTTAATTTAATAGGTTAGGATTAGGCTCTCTAAAAAGCCTACTAAACTTGTTAGGTTGGGCTGAGTCTGTTATAAATTTATAATATTAATTTATGAGAAAATTAATTAATAGTACTATAGTTAATGTGCTCTTTTAATTTATTTTTTAATTTTAATATATAGTTAATGGCTTAGTGTTTCCTTGGATTTTGAAGTTTAGTTGACAAGTGAAGATGAAAATATAATTTAAAATAACAATATCAATAAATAATGTGATCTTTAAATTTTAAAAATATAAATAAAATAGGAAAGAAAAATTTTGTTCCTAGAATGATAAATTAGTTAACTTATGTATTATGTTAATTAAATTATGATACCCTATTTATTCATTGTAAAATTAATAGTTTTTTCTCTTTATTTATTTGTTTTGATTTTAATTTTCATTTTGTACTTAAATGTAGTCTTATTCTAAATTTTAACAAAAAATTACAACCAGTTTTGAATAAGATCCTTGTAAATTGTAATTGAGATTTAAAATAGTACTTATCACACTAAAATTTAAATAAAAGACAAGACTAAAAAATTAATTATTATGTATCCTTTTTTAAATCTTTGCTTCTTCTTTTTATAAGCATCACCATGTAATTTGAATTTTAAAAACATAGATTTTTTAACAGGTTTTAAGCCAGGTTAGACTTAGGCTAAATAATAAACTTGTAACAGGTCACAGGTCACGCTCATATCGATAGGCTACAAAACAGTTCTGACTTGTTAAAAGCAAAGCCTGGTCTATTTTCACCCTTAATGATTGGTGTCTAATGATGTTTAAGCCGACCTAATTTCAAAATGGCCTCTCTCCCACTGAACCAAGTGTTTAGAAAGTTTTATTTCATCAAGATAAAGTTTGCATTGTAGAGTGAAATAAAGTTACTGGTTAATAACGAGGGATAGTCTGGAATGAATTAAGATTTAATTAGCTGATAACAGGCTGTATCAGCTTTAATTAAAATTTAATTTTACAAAGGATGGATACTTTGGATGATGCTAAGAAATGAAGCATCGCATTTGAAATTGATTTGGCCAATTTGGGGATTTTTCTTGAGTGGATCCCCCAAGCCATAAATCCCAGTCCGCCAAATTTGACATGGTTTTTGTCTTCTTCCGAGTGGAATAATAATTTATAAAAAGTTGCAGCCTTCAGGAGAACACAGTAATTAAAAGTAACATCAACTGCAAAATTTACTCAGAATTATCTTATTTTAAAAATAATAGCAGCATTAGTGATTAGGAGGGTTTTAACTGCTTCTACCCGATACCTGATAGAGATTATTCTTATGTTCAAAATAATTTAAGAATAATCCGAGTTAGAAAAACAAGTAGTTTCTTATTTCTAATTCTGTATTCTCTATATCATAAGTCTAATTTAATTAAATCGGAACAAATTCAACCAATTTCAATATTATATTTATTTCTTATGATAAGATACTTGGAAGTAATACTTTTTTCTGGAGATGAAAATTAATAATAGAGACGGAGGACGATTGGAAGATCTCCAATGAAGGTAATCTGAAAGCTTTCGTTTTCCAATTTTTTTCCCTCGTAATTTGCAATTTCACAACTTCTCTCTTTTATAATGATTAACTATTCCTAATTTACTTGGCCCAAAAAAAAACACTATTCATAATTATATTATTTTCAGATGAATTTCATTAAAAAATAAAAATAAAAATAAAAATTAGGTCTCAAGTGGCATATTTTCCCCTGAAACTATCCTTATCAGATTTGGCGCAACAGCTGGTGAGTCAGAGTCAGCTCCTGCCAGAATTCCAGCTGTGAAATCTAGCTAGCTGCCCCATCACTGTCTTCCTCATTCTTCTGTACCTCTCCATTACTTTTCATTACCCTTAACAACACCCTTTTATTTCCTCCGTTATTAAAACATCTATCACATTATGCCACTCAAGCTCTTCATTTATGTTAAATGCTTCTGATACTTCCATATAATTTATATTGACGAAAGGTTATTTTTGTCTTAGTATTCGCCACGAAAGTGTCATCGGTATACAGAAGTTTTTTAAGCTTAACGTCGTCTGGAAGTGTTAAAAGCTGAGCAATGTTATACTTTTTGTTAAAAATAAGTAGCAGAAAAAAAAGGTGATATTACACTCTTTTTTTTAACATTTCTAGGGTAATATTGAGGCAAATTTTTTTTTTTGAATATCTACAACCTCTTCACGCATACTTTCAGGGCAAAAATGACTCCCTACCTTAAATAATATGACAATAAATGGTAATTATACTTAAATTTGTCTGTGCTGTACTGCTGTATATGTAGACTTAGCACTGCGAAGCTATGCAAATGAATCATCAATGTGACTACTGATTAGGAAAATGGTGCGTCAATGCTTCAGAAAGGTCCAATTCAACCAACCACACCGACTCCCACCTTCATTAAAGTAAAATCAACCAGGCTTGCAAATTTATTCATTTTTAAAACGCTTAATGGGAGACAGAAGTCCGGGTTTGGGACGTTGGAGTTCGAGAGGCCTTGTGGGGTCCCCTTTGTCTTTCATTGAACCCAAATGACAAAACAAAATGCAATTGGGTTTCTTCCATTCTTCTTCCTTCCCAGAAAATGTTAAAACAAGCTTCAATGGCTCCTTTTCTGTCTTGTGCATAATCAAATCTTCCCTCAGATCATCTAGCACAATCCTTCACAATAGTATTGTTTCATTCAGTCATTCTCAATGTTGCTAAGAAACTCCATTTCCAACACCAAGAAGTTCTTCAGAAGGACCCTCAACAACTTCAAGTCTTTCTTCTCTTCAGGATACCACAGGCTTCCAAAAACATCTCCCCACCATCACTTTCCCTATTCTTCACCTAGTCCTCTCATCCTCATGGACACCCATCAAAGTAATTCAGAATTGGAGAAGCTCAATACTCACCAATGGGATTCCTCAGAGAAAGAGAAGGCAGAGAGAAGGAGCCAGGAAAAGGAGGAGTATTATCATCGAAGTCCTGTACAGAAGAAGAAGATGAAGCAGATAGATAAAAGAGACAATGAGAGGAACATGATTAGTCATCAAAAAGGGAGGCATGAAGAGTCACCAGTGAGAAATTTAATGGTGGAAAGGAGGCTGAGGGAGCTAGAGATGCTGGATATGGGGAATGTGGAATATGTGTTGGACATTGAAGAGGTTCTTCATTACTATTCAAGGCTCACTTGTCCTGCATATCTTGAAATTGTGGATAACTTCTTCATGCAGATCTACTCTGAGTTCTTTGCTTCTGTTTCTAAATTGCCCCCTCCAAATCAATAAGCCTCTTTCCCTGCTTACTTGATTCTCTTTGTTTATTGACCCTACATTATTAGAACTGTTTGGTCTGTTTCAATAATTTAAATTTATTTTTGTTTCTTTCAGATATTCATTCATCAACACTGAGACTATTCTTTTGACATATTTATTATATAGGGACGTGATTATGAATGATATGTATATGTATATGCATTTCACATATACACTTGGATAAGCAAATTCAGAATACATTCAGGAAGTTGCAATCACACTGTAAATGTAAATTTCTTTCAAGATCAGAAACTAGTTTTAGCTCAACCTGCAGGAATGGAAGGTGTCTATTTATTTGTTTACCTTTTTGGGAGGGGGAGTTCAGATCCTTTATATTTTGGAAATGAAGTCACGTTATACAGCTCAAAAAGAACGGACTAGTGAGTGGTGTGCGACTAAACAGTTTTTATGGTAGAAGCTGATACATTAAAGGCTTGATTTTCAAATATTATCAATCTTCGCTTTTATTTAATTCCTTGTTGAAAGTTTAGGTGAAGATGCTGGTAAAAAAAAAGTTTAGGTGAAGATAACGCTGCTTCTAATGTCATAATGAACTCAACCACAAGGTTTTCCACTATTGTCTATCAAAACGGCACATCCAAGTGAGAAACTTTTACTTTATGCAATGTTTGGTACGCGGAAAAGTGTTTTCTGGAAAGAAAATGAGAAATGCGCCTATCCATTTTCTTTTAGGTGCGTTTTTCATTTCCTTTCTAGAAAATATTTTTTCACATACCAAACATCACGGTAAATCTGATCCTCATTTTGTTTGTCTAAGGGTGTCTCCCTTTCCACTCCCTAATTTCAAAGGCTATGTTTTCTTTAACTTGTAAAAGAAAAAAATAGAAAAGTTTCCATGACCTTTTTGTTCTCCAAAAAAACGAAATTTCCACCTATTGAAGAACCCATGGCCAATATATACAATGACAAGATGAAGCCCATTGATATTTAGGCTTCACTCGTCGGACTCAGTTATAGTCTGGCCCATGAAGTTTACTGGCATAACTGATAACAATATTAGATATCTGATATGGTGAATTCCAAGACTGGTTCGTTGGGTCGTATGTATCATTGTGTTATGGTGGTCCTTGAGGATAACACTAATTCTCCAAAGCCCATTGGGAAAATTTCTGTTTGGAAAGTGGGAAAGTAAGAATCAGCACCTGGTGCACAGAAATCAGAAAAATGGAGGATATATCCAGTGACAGTGATGGAGCTAAAACGCAAATCCAAGAAGATGGGGGTGGATATAAGCATGCCACTATGTAAAGCACTAAGGAAAGTGTGAATTGAAGCCTGCCCCTGGAGGCAGTACTAGGGGTGGATATGATTCCCCAAATTAGGAAACAAATTGATTCTATTCAAGAGTTGCAGAATCAACTGTCACTTCCACAAGATCCTACAAGGCTTAATGAAAGGTATAATATATATACTTGATCAATCCCATTGTTAATGGGGTTATCTTTATTTCTTAAAATGCGTGGAAGAAGGAAAGAAATGAGGTAATTAAATTAAGTAATGTTTAATTAAGTTAGTTAAAAGTGGTGGTCCATTTAAGTCCAGAAAGATGACAAGTAGCCATCTAAAGAATTCCTTTCTTATATATCACTCACTCTTTCTCTCTCTTCCTTTCCACACTGATCGATGAATAATGCTTCTCATGACTCGTCATCTTCATTCCCCTGCATGCCTTGCACTTTTCATCGGACAAAAATAAAGCCACCACACTCTCCAAATCTGCTTCTTCCTTTTTATATCTTTTGATCTATATATACTTTTTCTGCATGCAATCCCAGACTTACGACTAACCCAGCTCTAGCGGCTGATTAAAAATGCCTCCTAGTTAGAGTAGGGACAGCTGATAATGAAGCCATGATGTTTGTCACATCCACGAACAACTGGACGCTACCATTTAATTCAGAGCCACTAATCTTGTTTATTCTATGAAGCATCTTCTCATTGTTGAGTGAACTATAATGGTGACCGGTAAACCATTGATTTTGAGTAGTGTAGAAGAAAAAAACAGTAAAAGGAATCAGCTAGCTAGCTATATAGATCTATAGGTATAACTATATCTTTAAGATTCCACCTATAAACAGGTTTGTTTCTATATTTGTGTACATATACACAAAAACGTACGCATACAATGAATTGAGAGATCATGAGTTACATATCCCAGTCCTCCACGGAATAGTTAGGAAAGTAATAAGAATCTAATGATTAGAATGAAGTCACCTTCAAGGGTGATGCATTTCTTCATCTAAAATTAAAGTCAGATGGTCCTGCAGAAAATATATGTGCATATATATAGTGGAGAGAATAATACCCAAATCATACGGTTATACACAATAAATTACTTGGACCACGTATATTAAAAGCAGTAAATATATACATGTAGGAAATGGTCCAGATGATTCACTATTCATGAGCATGTGCACAGTGTGTTGCTGCACAATACAAAAGCTGAAGGAAGGGGTTATGATCATCTGGTGTACCAGTGGTGTCACGTGTGACCTGGACCAAAATAATAATTTGTTTCTATGTATTCTAGTATGCCCTTTTGTAGGGCAAGTGTCCTTAACTTTTAAGGTCTTATTTATGTATTAGTTGATAGTTGAGGATCATGTAACTTCTATATCCACCCACCCACATGAGTTTTTCTTTTTTTCCACAACCAATATTCCTAACCCTTCAGAAAAAGGGTTCCTTAAAGAGTTCAATTCTATTAAGAATGGCCAACAAAAACAACCCAATCGCTGACTTATTGTTCCAAGTAATTTACTGTAGGAGTTTAAGATGCTACGTTTTCTTTCTTTCTTTTCAATTTCTAGGCATATATATGTGATGAACTTTCAGCATCTTTTGATTCCATTCTATGTAAACATATGTACATATACACACATATATATTGACCTAACAGTAGTTGAGACCATTATAGTGGTTGTCTTATTAGTCTTCATGCTTTTGGCCAGTCCCACCTTCAATATATTTACCACAACCACTATGTTTATATATGTATGACTATCTAATATCTAATGCTACTGAATCATATTCAATCATTGTCAGGTCTAATTGAGGTCCATAGTTATTTTAACGCGATTCTTTCCATTCACAGGATTTGAACCTTTGCCTTTATTTGTTTACGGTTGGGAATTGAGCCTCTTCCAGTTGACCCAACCATCATCATCGGTAATTGTATTCATATACAGCTAAACTTATATATATATATATATATATATATATATATATATATATGCAGTCAAGATCTATTAGCTACATCAGCAACGACAGTTACACCTTCCTCTTACAACTAATCACTATCATCACTACAATTATGCATGGTCATGTCCATTAAAGCCAACTTGCCATCAAATTTATCACCTTACTATTAGTTTGATAGTTTCTGTATATGCAATATAGACAGCTTTAGCAGCTCACTACAATATGGATGTATAAAGCTGTCTCATTATATATGTCTTTGATTTGAAGAATTAATTTTGGTGCTTTGAATATGGTTTGAAGTTAGAAGTCGCTTTAATCCACCGTATGTGCTGTGTGAAAGTAGCGATTCTAGAAGAAGATGAAGGTGGTGGGAAGAGATTAAAAATGGAATTAACTAAAGGGATGTGTAATGAGGTGAGACAATAATTAGGGAACCAAATGGTGGTCCTGCAATAATTTGATGCTGATATTAATTCATAGTTTATACATATAGACTGAGGGCTATTGACCATACTCAGATTGGTCGGGATAACACACACCAATAACATTTCTGTAAACTCCTTCCTTCCCAGCTAACATTCTTGTCCTTTTCAATCTATTCCAATTTCCACATCATTTCAGATTTATGTCACTTTTCTGCAATATCTTGTACTATCACCACTTCGCTAGTTACCTTATAACCTGGATTTATTCTCAAAAGAATTTATTTCCATTACAAATTAACTGATTCTTTATGTGTGTGTATGTTACATTATCCTGATATATTCCTACACAGAACAAGTTAATTGTTTTGGTCTCTCTTTTTACATATATATGACAATGTCCCTTGCAGTCATATGATGAGCATGAGTAATATATGAGTTAAATTGAAATAGAATACTACTTAAAACTGGTTGCTCGGTCAAGCATCCAAAGCTTTACTAGTTGAGGACGATAAATACAATATTATATGTGTGTGTATGCGCATGTGTGTATATATATACACATATATCAGAGCAAGGGTCGATGTGGCATCTAAGAAAAAATGGTTGAACATCGCTTAAAGTGCTTTGAACATGTGCAAAGAAGGCTATTAGAGAACTTGGTGAGAAGAGTAGATCAAACAGTATGAAATCTCATAAAAAAGGACAGAGGAAGACCGAGAAGAATGCTCAATGAGATCATTGAACGAAACCTTCTGGTCAATAACATATGTAAAAATTGAGTTGTTGACAAAACACAATGACATTGTGTAATTCATGTAGCCGACCCCACCTAGTGGAATAAGGCTTGCTGTTGTTGTTGAGTTTTGAATTCAAATTCTTATTGAGATCATGGCTAGGACAAGCATGTCTCATATCGATTTAAAAATTGAAAAAAAAAAAAGAAGATGTAAGATACAAGAGTAATAAAAGAGAAGATGTAAGATAAAAGAGTAATAAAAACTAATAAAATTTTTTTAACCCAATTTAAATTGAGCTCATTAAAAAATTTTCTCCCCTCTCCCTTTTCATTTCTCTCATACTAGATATAGGGTTAAACTACATATAAGTTATTCACTAATTATGATATCCTCACATTTAGAATGAATTTTAAACAGACATTAGTATAAGATGAGTCAAATTCTTTACCAATTAGACCAACTTTTGTTAATAACATTATTGTATAAACATTCGCATGAAAATAGCACACACGCATATATTCTGATTCTTCTTCATGATAATTTTGGAGTTGAAATGTTCAATTATATGTTCTTGCTACAACTTCAAGTCCCAGCTGTTCTTTTTAGATTCTTTTATCATCTATATAGGATTCAATTCTTTTCTATGCATTGAAGAGGAAAAGTGGTCCGAGTTTTTATGATGATAAGAATATATGGAGCAATGAGGATAAGGATTAAATAAAGAAGCAATTCATTCAATTAAACTAAAAAATATATTATTCTTAAACAAAGGGGGTGACCCTGCAATGCAATAATATTATGATTATCAGAGGGCCACTTTGATAGTCATGGGAATCGGGACCTTTTTTTTTTGCCCCTTCCTTTTCTTTTGAAATGCATTTTTTTTCACTTGTTTTCCATCAAAGTGA